GCCTCTCTGCAGTAGCGACACTGACCAGTCTAAATTTGCCTTGCCTTGGCCTGGTGGGCGGCAGAGCTGTCCGGCCCAATGCCCAGTCCTCACTTAGAGGTTGTGGAGTTCTGAGGTGGCTGTATGATCCATCTGGGAATTGGAGGGAGGTGTCAGGTCAGCCAGTGACCCTCAGACCTCACTGCCCACCCTGGCCAGACACCAGTGGGTGGGAGCGTGACGAGGTAGGTGCCTTGCCTTGCTCTGTTCCGGGGTCACTGGGTGGAATGTGCTACTGGGTTCCTCTGGGGCATGGCTTGTGGGGTTGGGTGGGGGCAGATCGGGCTGGCTACACTGGGGTCCCTTCGTGGGGCTGCCCTGTGCAGTTGGGCAAGCTGCACTCAAGCCTAAGGGGCTGCATTGAAGAGGCCCAGACAGCGTTTCTGCAATTTGCATATGTCACTCTATAACCTCCAAGCCTCTCCGGCCTGGGCAGAGCCCTCAAGGCCCCAGGCCTGTGCTTTTCCGGCAACCCTGGCCTCAGCCACGGGTTCTCAGGACCCATGTGGAGGGTACTGGAGGCCAGGCTGGTACCTGCCAGGAATGGAAGACCCTGAGCACTCCCCCTACCACACCTTGGGCAGGAGCTGCTGGTTCCTCTGTGATCAGTTGTGGGGTGGCTGGCCCTGCCCCCCCACACCCACTGCCCTCGGGGTCCCAGAGCTAAATGCCCTCTGACCCCTGCCCTTCTCAGGGCTGGAGCTTCTGTCTGGGACACTGGGAATGTTCTGGAAGTATGTGGCAGTGAATATGGAACACACTCAAACCCGCTGCCTCCTACCCTCCAGAATGGTGGATTATGTCTTAGTGTTTTAAATTTAAAAACGAAGTGTTCAACATATTTTTTAAGTCTCTGCCAGGGCCACTTGGGGCAGCTGCAGTTGGGGCTTCCTGGACGCCCCCACACTGTGTCCCTGCTTGACTGGCCCTGTTGTGGGTTGCTGGGCATTCCTTACATTACTTCCTGTGTCCCCAATCCCATCCACACCCGGGGTGGGGGGGTACTGCCTTTTCCTGTGAACCTGGTTCAGAGGAACTTCAGGTCCTTCCTGTGAGATTTGAGGTCTGGTCCCCACGCTGGCTGTCCTGGGGTGTAGTGTAGGAGGTGGGCTGACAGGAGGTGAGGGTGGCCACCCTCTGTGTCCTGGGACGTTGGGGCCATAGGCCCTGCCTGCCATCACTGACTCCTAGAAACATGTCAGTTCTAAGAGGTGCTGCCTTCGTCTCTTTCACAGTCAGCTGGAGCTGGCCCGGCCCGGGCTCCTCTGTTCCAGTCAGGACGGGCAGCACTGGGGTGGGCTGTAGCCAGTAAGGAGAGGGGCAGGGAGGTTGGCCCAGCTCCCGAGTTGTCTGGACCAGGCTGAGGTGCTGACTAGATCCCAGCCTCTCTGCTTCCTTCCTGTTCATAGGTCAGGGGGAACCAGGTGGCTGGTGGACCTAGGGGTTTCCATCCTGGCCAGGGACCACTGCAACCCAGAAAGCAGGCCTGGGCCCAGGTGGCATGGTGGGTGACCGTCACCAGGGTGGCTTCTGCTCAGCCACTGTGTTCTCCTCCACAGGATCTTCACTGAGCAGCGAGTCGTCCCCTGTGTCCTCTCCAGCCACCAACCACAGCTCTCCCGCCAGCACGCCCAAGCGCGTGCCCATGGGCCCTATCATCGTCCCTCCTGGGGGCCACAGCGTCCCCAGCACGCCCCCCGTGGTGACCATCGCCCCAACCAAAACCGTCAATGGCGTCTGGAGGAGCGAGACCCGGCAGGTGAGTGGCCCAAGCTGGGAAAGCAGGGAGGTACCCCAGTGTCCAATAGGGAAGACTAGATTCGGGCAGCTGTTGGTGTTTCTGGAGCTTGTGAGTTTAAGACACAAACACTCCCCCCATCTTGAGCTGCTGTCTCTGCTGCGTGGTGCGGGAGATAAGCACTCATCTCAAGGAGTGTGGGGATTAAGTGCATTAATCCACACAGTCTGCTCTGCTGCTGTGTCAACTTCGGGCTAGGGGTGTGGTTTTTTCTTCCTTTTCTTGAGGCCAGAAGTTGGAGATCAAGGTGTGGGCAGGGTTGGTTTCTCCAGAGGCCCCTGCCTTTCGCTTATAGCTGGGCCTTCTCCTCCTGTTCCCACGTGGGCCCCCTCTGTGTGTGCCTATGTCTTGATCTGCTCTTCTTATAGGACACCAGTCATGTTGGGTCAGGGCCCCTGTCTGAAGACCATCCCTACGATGGTCACATTCCAGGGTCCCAGGAGTCAGGGCTTCAACACGAGATTGGGGGCAGGAGATACAGCCCGTACACTGGCAGGTGCCTCAGAGGGTGTGTGCACTCTGCGAACACTCGGTAAACAGCAGCGATCACTGCTGTTACCTGTCGACTGAACCAAGAAGTGAAATAGGAACAGTGCCAGCCCACAAGCCGTCAGAACAGGAAATCTGGTGGTTTTTGTGTTTCTGTCTTAACTTCAGAAGCCCTCAGAGGAGGCCCTTCCCCAGGCTTGGGGCTTCCCTGTGTCTGCCAGCCCCTCAGGCTGACTTGTGTCACCTGCCTGCTGGGGGCGCAGGTGGCCCTGGGAGCTGCTCCCGGCCCTCATGCCCAGGACTGGCCACCTCTTTAAGAATATCCTCAGCTGTGCTCCCTTCCTGGGTTTTTTTGCCACACTCCCAGAGGGAGGACGGCACCACTTGGAAATCCTAATTAAACCACAAAGGCAGCAGTGGTCAGAGGAAAATGTGGCCCCCTTGCTCCTCTCAAGCTCCTCCTGGGGGTACATGGGTGCTGGGCGCTGGTCATCGTCAGGGCCATGCCCCGGGCAGTCACCGGTGCAGGGTGAAGACCCCTGGGATCACCAGGAATAGCTTTGGGCAGCCTTGCCTTTGCCATCCTCCCTGGCTAAGGTGACAGATTCCCCCAGAGTGTCCCCTTGGTGAAGTCCCCTCTTCCCCCAGAGGCCTCTCCTGGCCTTGCTCATTCCTGGGTTCAGTTTATAGATGGGTAGAGGGACAGGGAAGGGCCCAGGGGTGGAGTCTGGCAAGAGGGGCCTCAGAGCAGCCTGAAGCAACCCTGGTCCTGGTTTGGAAGAGGACAAGGGCAGCATCACTGGACTCCCTTACCCCAGAGGCCACCCCTAGGATCAGCCTTGACCCTGGAGACCCTAAGTGACCTGATTGAGCTGCAGCTTCACTGACCCTGTGCCTCACCCAGCAGGCCCAGCAGGAGTGGGCTGGCTCTTATTGTGGCCTAAGTGGCTCAGGAAGGTCACTCCTGTCTCCAGGACCCTGGCACCAGCTACTGCCTAGACCAGGATCCCTTGCAGATGCTCCCTTCATGGGGTTCCGCGTACCTTTGCAGGCAAAGCCTCCTTTCTGAGCTTCTTGGCCTCCCTCCTCAGAGGGCCCTGACCACCTCAGAGGCATTTAGTGACCGGAGGGAGGGGTATGTGTGTGTGTGATCTGCTTCTGCACTTCACTGCCACCGTGCCTGATGGAACACGGATGCTACTAGGAGGGCAGTGGCAAAGAGCACCATGTTAGCAGGTGACTTGGGACTTAGCAGCTTGGGCAGAGGCCTGGGGGTGCAGAAAGGAGGACCTCTCCCACTCTGGGGCCTCTCCTTGGGGGTTACCAATGTCTCTCAGGTAGTAGGAGCTGTGAAAAGAGAGATGAAATGAAAATGGTCTGCAGTTGAGCTAACCCAGCATGTCCTGTCTGCCTGTGGAACCCTCTCTGATCACCAGCAGGTGACGCATCCCCTCCACGGCTGCAGCTGCACCCACAGCTCCACTCAGAAATAAAAAGCTGCCCCGCAGGTGCGCCCTGCCGCATGTCTGTCTGCCGGGATGGCAGTGGGACCCTGCCCACTGTTGCTGGGGTGCCTCAGAGTGGCCACCAAGCCTCCTGGCCTTGCTGAGGAGGGCTGCTGCCTCGCTCCCCTCTCCCCTCCTGCCTGGGTGGCCCCGTGTGTTGCTCTGGGCCTGCTGACCTAGTTCTCTGATGTCTGGGTGAAGTTGGCCCGGCTGGCTCCAGCCAGACGGGAGCTGCAGCCGTGTGGTCTGGCTCACTGAGCCCCCTGCCTGCTGGCCGCTCCCCTAGCCTCCTTAACTCCTTGTTTGTCCCCAGCCAGGCCAGGAAGGTGCCATCTGGCTTGGCTGCCTGTGACCAGGGATTTGTCCATGGCCAAGGAGAGAAGGGGCTTAGGGGGCTAAGGACAGTGTGCTGGGCAGGGTCCCCCATGGCCCGTGGCCTGGGGAGGCCGTGCTCCACTGTTTGATTCAGCATGCAGAGGCAGGTGGCAGGCGGCAGGCCTGGGTGCCAGGTGCCATCCCTAGGTCGAGGTCTGTCCTCCAGGGTCTCTGGCCACCCACCCAGAGCTGGGGTGGCATTTAAGTCCCTTGGCTGTCATCTTCCTTAGCTCCTGCCCAGGCAGGAGGAAAGCTCACTACCAGCCTTGGGACTCCAGAGGCTGTGCCCCACAGCTTTGGGCTTTGCGTTCATCAGGGCCCCCCTGATATTAGGGACCAAGGGCCACGCCATCCTATTCAGCTTGGCTTTGTGCCAGGGGAGGGATGTGAAGGAAAGCCCAGAAGCCCTGTCCTGGACAGGGCCCTGCTAGTGTAGGTTGCTCATGTAAGGGGGATGGTGATGGGGCAAGGCAGGTGGTACCCCACCGTGCATGAGACCTTGGCCTTGACAGGTGCTCACTTACCACTGCACTGCAGGCTGGTGTTGCAGTTGGCACATAAGGCGGATGGGGGCACTAAGGCCTAAGGCAGTTCTGAGGCTTCTCCAGAATCTCCAGGACCGGATAGGAGCTCGTTGCCCGAGGCAGGTGGAAACCACCCTGCTGGTAACAAGGCCTCTGGAGGACCCCATGGCCAGGTGCAGGCTCCTTGGTACAAGGTTCTGGGTGCCCGGTGGCTCCCAGCTCCACGCAAGGCCACAGTGCCTGTGTGTGCATCCCACCTCTAGACTGCTGCTCTGGAAGGGGCAGGTCGGAGGCCATAAACCCGCTGGGACCCCACTGAGAGTGAGGGCTGGGGAGGGAGCACAGGGAGAGAGCAGCTGTGGCCACTGATTACACATTCCAGTCAGTGCCTGTCGCCTTCAATTAATTACTGCTGACTGTCTTCTGGAGGGCGGGAGGGCGCGTGTTGGGGAAATGTGCCTGACAGGGCCACCCGCACCTTCTCTGTGGCATGTACCATGTGCCACTGTGGGGTCACTGTCTGCATTGTGAAGATGGGTGGGTGCCAAGAAGAGCACAGTGACCAGCCCCCTCACCACCCACACAGGGAGGTGACAAGCTGGGGGCTGCCCCAGCCTGGCCTCTTCACAGGAAGTCATGTCCCTGACAAGAACAGGCAGGACAGCTCCTCCATGTACCAGGTGTGGGACACCCCTCTATGTGGCTGGGCTGGCACAGCCCCCTTGGGCTCGGCAGGGACCACAGTCAGCACGGTGGGCCTTGGGCCATCTGACCCGTCATGCCTGGAGTGGGCCCCTCCCCTCATCCCCGGGGCACCATTCAGCCACATTTGTTGTCCAGGAGGCAGGGGCCTGTGGCCACCCCCCACCTCAGATGTGTACAGAGAGAGGTACCACAGATGGGTCTGTCTAGTCAAGGCCCAGCAGCTGCCTGCTGTGACAGTGTTGCAGATGTCAGGGCCACCCTGGGAGTTAGGCAGTCTCAGCAGTATGCCCGACCCCGGGATAGCGCCAGGCTTGTGGCCCTTGCCTTCTACGTGCTCCAGTGGCCTGGGCAGTGGGCAGTGCGGCTCACGTCTCAGAGGCAGCACAGGGCTCACTTCTTAGGGTGGTGGAAGGCAGTGGCATCTGCACCCACATGCTGGAGTGACCCTGTGGGACACCCTACTGTGCTGTGTCCTGTCACCTAGACATAGTACACATCTTGTGCCCGAGAGGAGTTATCCCAGGCCCCTCTGCTGGACCATGGACTTCTTACCTTCTGTCCCCTGCGTTCACTGATGCAGTTTGCGTTTTAGGTAGAAAAGCTTACAGGAGGGACGTTTCTAGAACGTGAGCTGGAGCCTTTCCCATGAGTGGGGAGGAAGACCTGGCCCCACGCAGGTGGATGGTGGCCTACGATGACCTGTTGCTGGCCATCTGACCCGGTGCTGTCTCCCATCAGGATGCCAGCTCGAGGGGCAGCAGCAGTGGCCGGGAGCGCCTCATCGTGGAGCCCCCACTGCCCCAGGAAAAGGCAGGGGCCCCAGCCATCCCCTCCCATTTGCTCAGCACCCCCTACCCCTTCGGCATCTCCCCTGGCTCTGTTGTGCAAGATTCCCGCTTCCCGCCGCTCAAGTGAGTCTGAAGGTGGGGCCCAGTGGGGGCTCGGGTGTGGGGCAGAACTGGGTGCCTGCCAGCTGGTTGCTGTCCTCTGTGGCTGCCCTGCCTGCCCTGGGGGGCCATGGCCCTGTCTATGCCGGCCGTCCCCTCTCACACTGAGGTAGTTAGTGGATTCCTAGTCCTGCGCTATCCCTCCCAGTTCTGGGGGTCGTACCTGGTGAGGACAGTGAGGGACCTGGCAGGCCTGAGGGACAGCAGCTGCCCTGGGCCCCGTCCCCGGAGGGCGAGCATCCTTCCTTGGGAGGCAGTGGCAGCAGCTCACCTGTCTCCTCTCTTCCCCACCATCACCCTGCAGCCTCCAGCGGCCTGTGCACCACATCGTGCCCCCCAGCACGGTGACCGAGGACTACCTGAGAAGCTTTCGTCCCTACCACACCACTGAGGACCTCCGCATGTCCTCCCTGCCTCCCCTCGGCCTAGACCCAGCCACTGCTGCCGCCTACTACCACCCCAGCTACCTGGCCCCACACCCTTTCCCCCATCCGGCCTTCAGGTGAGGCAGCTCCTGCCGCCCTTTGTCGTACACTAACCCATTCCTGGCAAAACGGAACCTGGTGGGGACGGTGTTCTTCACGACCTGGGGCCACACTCTCGGGAGCATTTTCAGAAGCCCCCCCAAATCATCCCTAGCATTGAGCCTGAATTCAGCCTCAGTTCAGCTCTGACGACTCCTCGGGGTTCCTTTTGGGGGACATCCCCTTGCTGTCTGAGCCGCCTTTGTCATTGCAGCACCCCAGCAGCGAGTTGCTATTAACAGGGTGGGTCTTACAGTAGCAATTGTTCTGCCAGGTCGCAGGGACCCCAGCGGCAGGCTTGACACATCCTGCTTCTGCATGAATCTCCCCACATCCCAGCCTGTAGGGTCTCCAGTCGTTAACGTGGACTGTCCCTCAGGCCAGTCTGTGTCAGTCTGCCCAAGCTGGGGGAGGTGGCAGGCAGGCCTTGGAGGTTTGTCAGCACCTCGTAACCTCAGACAGTGAAGGGCTATGGGGCTGGCAGTGGGTGAGGCCCTTACTGCAGCCGGTTCAGTGTGCTTGGGCAGGGGTACCCCGCCACAGCACACCTGTCAACAGCTAGGTCTCACCCTTTTTGAGTTTGGCACTCACCGGTCCCCCATCTCTTGGCACAGGATGGATGACTCCTACTGCCTGTCTGCCCTGAGGTCCCCGTTCTACCCCATCCCCACCCCCGGTTCCCTGCCCCCGCTGCACCCGTCAGCCATGCACCTCCACCTGTCTGGGGTGCGCTACCCACCAGAGCTCTCCCACTCATCCCTGGCAGCACTGCACTCTGAGCGCATGTCCAGCCTCAGCGCAGAGAGGTGAGCAGGGCCTGGGCTGGGGGTAGGTGGGGAGGCCCTCCGTCCCTACTGTCCTAGGACAGTAGCCAGGGAGACCAGCGGCTGGACCCTGGCTCAGCTGTTTTGTGTGTGTCAGGGCAGGCTCCTTGGCTGTGCCCGGCCCCAGTTTCTTCACCTGCAAAGTGGGATGGTGACAGTTTACCCCTCACGCTCACACAGAGCAGCTGTCCTGGCGGCCCTCTGCTCCTGCCAGGGCACTGTGGTCTCTGAAGCTGAGGATTGTGGTGGGGCTCAGGGATCTTGTGCAGCTTCCCGCATCGTGAGGGGGGGACTTCCTTGCCGGGTCCCCTCCCTGCTCCTGACTCTCCTCACCTGCCACAGGCTGCAGATGGATGAGGAGCTGAGACGTGAGAGGGAGCGTGAGCGTGAGCGGGAGGCCGACCGTGAGCGGGAGAAGGAGCGGGAGCGGGAGAAGGAGCGGGAGCGTGAGAAGGAGCTGGAGCGGGAGCGGGAGCTGGAGCGCCAGCGGGAGCAGCGGGCCCGGGAGAAGGAGCTGCTGGCCACCAAGGCGCTGGAGCCCAGCTTCCTGCCTGTGGCTGAGCTGCACGGACTGCGAGGCCACGCCACTGAGGAGCGGGGCAAGCCCTCAGAGCAACTGACCCCCACCCGAGCAGGTACTGGGCAGGCAGGTGGGCAGAGGTCTCAGCCCTGAGCTGTCATACCCGTGGGTCACCTGGGTTCAGATGTTCCCTCCGTGGCTGGTGTTGGCCGCAGCTGACATTGCTGAACGTGGGGTTGGGAGGAGACAGTGGCACGATACAGAAACAGTATGTTTAGACAACCCCAGGAACACGAACAGTAGTGAAGTGTGCCAGAAAGTACCAGGAAGAAATGAGTTTGAGCGCTTCCGTTAACACGGTCACTCAATTTTGTTATGTTGTTGTCTACCTTTTAACAACGGCTGTTTGAAACAGGCTTGCACATGTCCTGAAAGTCTGCTCTTGGAGCCAGTGTGAGCTGCTCCAGCACCCCACTGACTGGTTGGCAGTGCCTGAGCCGTGCCAGCGGCCACTGCATTCCCCCTGGCGACAGGCGTGCTCCTGAGAGCATCCCCAGTCCCCTCCTGCCTGTCTTGGTTCTGGCTGCGGGAAGAGCCCTTTCAAAGGGTGGCTGCTTCTGGGGGCAGTTGGACAGGAGATGAGCGGGAAGGGAGCGAGCTGGCCTGGGCACACTGAGACCCTGCTGTGACGTGTCTCCCACAGAGAAGCTGAAGGATGCAGGCCTGCAGGCACCCAAGCCTGTGCAGCACCCCTTGCATCCTGTGCCCACCCCGCACCATGCCGTGCCTGGCCTCGTCTCCAACCATGGCATCTTCTCCCTGCCGGGCAGCAGTGCAGCCACAGCCCTGCTGATCCAGCGCACCAACGAGGAGGAGAAGTGGCTGGCACGGCAGAGGCGGCTGCGGCAGGAGAAGGAGGATCGCCAGTCTCAGGTGTCGGAGTTCCGTCAGCAGGTGCTAGAGCAGCACCTGGACATAGGCCGACCCCCGGCGCCAGCAGAGGTGGAGCATAGGCCTGACAGTGCCAGGTGGGTGGCCCCGTGGAGGTGGGAGGGGTGTGTTTCCAGCCAGGATACAGTGAGCACCGCTGTTTGCCCAAGACCCTTTGTCATTGGTCTCTTTCCTTCCTTTTGTGGCCCCTGTCTTGCCTGTGAGGAAGCTGAGACCCTGAGGAGAGTCAGGTGCTGACAGACAGGTACCAGAGCCATAAGTAAGGGGACCAGTCAAGGCCACGTCCAGAGTCAGGGCACTGCCCTTAGAAGGCCATTCATGCATGGCCTCTGAAGAGGGTGAGGTTGATTTAACTGTTAATAATGCCTGTTTTTAACATCGTTCTCTAGTTTTGAACTTGGACTTTTTTAATGAGAAGAGAACTACCTTTAATTTTTTTTTAAATTTATTTTATTTATTTATTTTTTTGCAGTTTTGGCCAGGGCCAGGCTTGAACACGCCACCCCTGGTATATGGGGCTGGCACCCTGCTCCATGAGCCACAGGTGGCGCCCACTTAATTCTTATTTCAGTAAAACAGTAGCTTTATTGCTTTTGGTACAAAAGATGGACCCAGCTTGGTCCCTGTGGCTTAAGCAGCTAAAGTGCACCTGAGGTGGTAGGTTCAAACCCAACGCAGGCCCACCAAACAACATTGGCGGCTGCAACCAAAAAATAGCTGGGCGTTGTGGCAGGTGCCTGTGGTCCCAGCTACTTGGGAGGCAGAGGCAGGAGAATCGCATGAGCCCAGGAGTTGGAGGTTGCTATGAGCCGTGATGCCACAGAACTCTACCCAGGGTGACAGCTTGAGGCGCTGTCTCCAAAAAAAAAAAAAAAGAAAGAAAGAAAGCTGGACCCATTTTCTAGCCCCATCAAAGTTTCCTTGAAGTTTCCCCATCCAAAAATCCCTGTAGAGCTCACTGTGAAGGGCTAAGCCGAGACCCTCATAAGAGCTGGTGGAGGCCGAGGCTCTCAGCCAGGCCTCCATAATGCCGTTTTAGGCCCAGCTTAGACCCAGGGACACAGCTTCTATTCTCTGGGCCTCAGTTTCCTTAGCTATGCACCAGGGTTTCTGTCTTCTCAGCCTTGAGTGCTGTGGTGGGGTGCTGAGATAAGGAGGCCCTCGGGTGCCCTGCGGTTTCCAGTCTGCGTCCTCCCTCCTCCTCTCTCTTCCCTTGTTGAATGGAACAGTAAGGGCATCAGCTCAGCAGGTGTGAAGGGAGGGGACTGCCACTACATCCCTTGACTGGGTCTCCCGTGGCTCTCGCTGCCCAGCATAGCCAGAGCAGATTCCCCTCTGCCGCTGACTCTACCAGGTGTCCCAAAGGCTCAAACTCACCTGCCAGTGAGCTGCCTCTGCCCCCTGACCAGCCTTATATCCAGAAGTTGGAGAGGGCAGCCAACTCACATCTGGTACCACTCGATAAAATCAGGGTGCCCCCACTCACACAGGCACCTTCCTTTGTGCTCCCCAGGACAGGTGCCCGGGCCTCGTCCACTCACATGCTCTCACTTTCAGCTGGGGTGGCCTGCACTGTGGAGGGCAATGGGCCCCAGCCCTGCCTGACCTTAGCAGATCCTATGGTGGCCGGCTGCACTCGGGGCCTTACAGCATCATGAACTTCATGTCCTGACAGGGCCTTTGTGCTCCCAGCTAGAAAACCGTTCAGTGCTTGTCTGTGGTGCATGACATATTTATTCTGCCAGCAGGTTTATTCCTTTGCTGTTTACTTAAGGACACACAGCTTCTTGATATGGTTCCCTGTTTTACTCTGCTGCTCCAAGGTGTGATGGCACCAGGTGGCCTAGGCTGTCTAACCTAGCACCCCCAGGCACGGAGGGCCCTGAGAGCCTGGCCATGTGTCTGCGTGGCTTCTGCCTGGGGTCACTGGGTGGCACAGGCTCAAACATCCTGTGGCTATCGCCCTGAAGAAAAAAAAACCTTGGAAAAACAACATCCGAAATTGCCTTTTGTAAATTGTATCTTGTTTTAAATGGGCTCCAGAATGAGGTCACTTCCTGCCCTGGTGAGGCAAGCTGCTTGGCTAGCAGAAGGCTCCCTGCATTAGACACCCCTGGGGTCCCTGCCCAGGCCCAGGTCCTTGGAGACCCTATTGGCATAGCTGTTGCTCTGGGGTCTCAGCCTCAGGCCAGGTGGGGTCACTATAATTCCGGGCAGACGCTAGAAGCAGCTCATGCCCCACTGCCTGTGTGCCTGCCTGTAAGGACAGCAAGGAGAGAGGCCAGGGTACTACTTGTCATATCTAGAGGAGGGTGCTGGGGGCAGGATTACAGCCCAGCACAAGTGGGCTTCCCCGTGGGAAACAGAATGAGGGCCCGTCCTTATGGGATTTGTGCGAGTAGCTGGAGAGCAGGTCTGGCCCAGCCTGAGAGGGTTCCACCCTCCTCTGCTTTGCAGCCTCCCAGTCCTCCTGCCCTCCTCTGAGGGCAGGTGTGCACATACCTGTCTCAGTCATTTGGAGAGGGAATGGAGGGACGTGAAGCATGGGACCCTCAAGGTGGAGTGCCAGCCAGCTCTCCCTATGGCCCTGGCCACATGGGGAGCCCACAAGGGCTGCAGATCTGTTCTCCCAGGACTGATGGTCTCTTCTGCTTGCCTTTAGGCCTGGACCAAACCGTCATGAGCCAGGCAGCCGAGACCCCCCACAGCACTTTGGTGGACCACCACCCCTGATCTCGCCTAAGCCCCAGCACACTGCGCCCACAGCCTTGTGGAACCCAGTATCTCTGATGGATAATAGCCTAGAGACCCGGCGGGCTGAGAGCCACTCTCTGCACAGCCACCCGGCTGCCTTTGAGCCCAGCCGCCAGGCAGCTGTGCCACTGGTGAAGGTGGAACGGGTCTATTGCCCAGAGAAGGCAGAGGAGGGGCCACGGAAGCGTGAGGCCACACCCCTGGACAAGTACCAGCCACCACCCCCAAGGGAAGCAGGGAGCCTGGAGCACCAGGCCTTCCCCCCTGGGCCTGGACCCTTCCTCACTGAGCTCGAAAAGTCTACCCAGACCATCGTAGGCCAGCAGCGGGGCCCCCTCCCACAGGTGGCACCCTTTGGGGAACTCAGTGGACCCCTGAAGCCTGGCTCACCCTACCGGCCCCCAGCACCACGGGTCCCTGACCCCAGCTATATCTACGACGAGTTCTTGCAGCAGCGGCGGAGGCTGGTCAGCAAGCTGGACCTGGAGGAGCGCAGGCGGCGAGAGGCCCAGGAGAAAGGTCTGGCCTCCTTGGAGGAGGAGCTTAGCCGGGTGGGGGAAGCCTAGTGCCAACCGCCTGCCCACACAGTTCCCTGGTTTCCGTGTAGGAACCTAACACCTCTACTAAAGAGATAGACCCTGAGCCTCTGAGACCTGTCCTGCCCTGATACAAATTGTCCTATAAAGCCAAATCAAAGCTTGTCTGTAGAGACAGTCCTGCAGACATGTGTGATTAATAAATGATGAACAGAGGCTAATAAGACAGTTTTAAATATTAATAGTGAAGCATAACAGAGTCTACAGGCCAGTGACAGGGTGGGCCTGGGCCCCATGGGCTCAGTACCTGAGGCTGCCATCACCAACGATAGGCAGGCAGGCAGGCAGGCTTGGGGGGCAGCAGCTGGGACTGCCCCAGGCCAGGGC